CCCTCAGACCCCAGGACAGGCCCCGTCCCCGGTCCCGACCCCCGGGACCCCCCGGGACCCCTCAGACCCCAGGACAGGCCCCGTCCCCGGTCCCGACCCCCGGGACCCCCCGGGACCCCTCAGACCCCAGGACAGGCCCCGTCCCCGGTCCCGACCCCCGGGACCCCCCGGGACGGCCCCTCAGGTCCCTCCGCCAGAGGGCGCCCCCCACACACACCCCGCGCGCGCGCCCCGGACCCGCCGCCACAGCCTCGCTCCCGCGCGCAGCCGCCGTCGCTATGACAACGGCGCGATGCGCCGGGGGGGCGGAGCCATCCCCCGCCCGAGCCCCGCCCCTCCTCCGAGCCAAGCGCAGGCGCACAGCGCGCAGGCCGGGGTGGGCGGGGTTCCTCAGGCCGCGCCCACCTCGCAGACGCCACGCCCCCTACCCGGAATGGGCGGGGTTTTGCGAGCCCCACCTGGGCGTGGTGCTCCTCTAACGCGCATGCGCCGATTTCTGAGGGCGGAGCCCTCACCCCCACCCCTGGGCGCGGCTGAGAGGCGTGTCCATTGCTGCGCGTGCGCGAAAGCCACGCGGGGTCCCGGAGGGCGGGGCGGAGCGGAGTTTGAGGCGCATGCGCAAAGCAGGCTGTGCCCTCCCCGGCTGCGCATGCGCAAAGGCAGAAGGACAGGGCGGGGCCAGGGCTCGAAAGAGGAGGGGCATTATGCGGGGGCGGGGTCAGGGCGTTGGGGCGTGGCCAAGGCGCGGGGGGCGCGGCTTGTCCCAGTACGGGGCTGCTGGGACCAGTACGGGACCAGTACGGGGCTGCTGGGACCAGTACGGGACCAGTACGGGACCCACCCGCACTAGTACGGGTGTACCAGGGCCAGTATGGGACCAGTACGGGACGGACCCGCACCAGTACGGGCGTGCTGGGACCAGTACGGGACCGGCCCGGCCCAGTATGGGGGTCCCAGGACCAGTACGGGACCGGACCGGCCCAGTATGGGGGTCCCAGGACCAGTACGGCACCGGACCGGCCCAGTATGAGGGTCCCTGGACCAGTATGGGACCAGCCCCGCCCAGTACTGGGAGGGCTGGCCCCCAGTGTGGAGCCCCCACACACCAGTTCGAAGGACCCTGTCCCAGTATGAGCCCTCCCACACCAGTATGGGGACCCCACCCCACCAGTCTGAGGGCACTCCTCCCAGTATGTAGCATTCCCCACACCAGCTCCCACGGGGAAAAACTACAGAAAACCCCCAATTCCCCCTGAATTCCCCCAAAACAGCCCCATGGGGTCCCTGCCCTGTGCAGGCAGTGCCTGATCTTTGCTCCATCTCCCTCCTCAACTCTCCTGACATTTTTATTTCCTATTTTTCCCAGTTTTTTGGCCGGTTTGGGGGGAATAAAATTCCACCCAGCCTTTTCCTCCTATCCCCCATGGCTCCATTAGAGGAACAAATAAACCCCCCCACACCTGGGCCAACATTTCTTTCCTAAATCCTCTCCGGGGGGGGGGGGTTTCCCACCTCAACAGATGGGAGAACGTAGTGGAAAACTGAATTCCTTCCCCTCACAATCACCCGAACCATCAAAATCAAGTTTCAATGAATGAAATATTTCAATTAAATGTTTCCAGAGGCATCGGAGCTGCTCTCCAATGGAAACTTTTTATGGATCATTTATTCTCTCCTTCCCAGGAGCAAAGTGCCAGGGGAGGGGAGGAATTCCTGGCTCACCTTCCCTGTGGGAATTGGGAGTGCTGTGGGCTCTGGAATGTTGGTGCATCCCAAGGAAGGGGCTGGGGGCAGGACTGCTCCCTTTCCAGAGCTGGTTCCCCCCCCTACCCCCCTAAAAATCCAGTGGGGATGAGTGGAAAGGGGGGAACAAACACCTACTTGCCCTCCTCTCCCCCCTGCAGTGGGATTGTGCAGCCACTTCCAAGGAAACCTGTTCACCAGGATAGAGCCAGTGTTGGATCATCGCCAGGAGAGCCCTTGGGGGGAGCGGGATGGGGGGTTGTGTTTGGGCTCCCCAAAATGTTGTGTTTGGGCTTTTGGGGGGCTTTATTTTCCCTTGTTTTTGTGTCCCTCAGGGACATCTGACACCCCCTTCCCCCGGGGCAGGGAGCTGGAGTGGGATCATGGAATCATGGGATCATGGGATCCCAGGCAGGGACACCTCCCACTATCCTGGGGGATCCAACCTGGCCTTGGACACTTCCAGGGATGGGGCACCCTCTGGGAA